TTGATCTGGGGTTTTTTTTACGCTCTATCAACCTATCGAACGTTATTTAGAGCCAGAAAATATTTTCAGATTATAAAAACTTTTGAAGACAATAATGATTTACTGATACAAGTCCTATTAATTAACCCATAGCTCGATTGGGAAAAAGGTGGATTCATACCTTTCCAAAGGGTATTTACACATAAGTGAATATAAAGACTCCGACTGGAATCGAAACTAAGCTCTCTGATTTCCAATTCCGAGCCATTATGCATTACACCACCCGCATATCCAAGCTTTCGGCACCTGGTATTCCCAAGCGGTCATGATCTAGGTACTGACCTGGTTCGATGTTGCTTAACTTCGGTGTTATGACCGTAAGTCTTTAGCATACTTGGAAAGAATGTTAGAATAACCCATAACCTATACTAGTAACAAACCGCCTGCATCGGGATAGAAAATTCAGTAAATATACAAAAACAGAAAGGGGTGTAAGACAAGGATAGGTCTTCTCACCAGACTTATTAAACCTATACAGTGAAGTGATTCTGAAAGAATTAGAAAGTCCTACCAGCATTCATTATTGGCGGTCACATTCTTAACAACATAAGATATGCAGATGACACAGGGTTGATGGCATATACAAAAGTGAAACTATTGGAACCCCTACTGAAAGTAGTGAAGGAAATCGAGAAGAAAGAACTAGACATCAATTACAAGACGACAAAATGCATGGCTGTTAGCAAAAGGGGCAGCCTAACATTATAAATTACAAATTGGAGATGCCAAAATCAAACAAGTACAATAATTTAAATATCTGGGAAGTGTTTTAACAGAGTATGGAAATGCGATACTAAAATCCGAAGGGGTATTTGGATAGACTTCCAAAGATGTCTTCCAAAAGCTAAGCAACGTATTAAGAAACAGGAAAATTTGGTTACAATCAGAGAACTAAAATTTTAAATAGTATCAGCCATCCTAGATGGCAATTTACTAAGCGTAGCTTATATATGGCACAAGTATGGAGCGCCTCAAGAGGACAGAACTTACTACTAAGTCGTAATAGAGCTAGAACGACAAGAGAGTTATCCATTATACTACGTGGCAGTGAATGCTAGACAATCTCCTCACACATAAAGAAGAGACTTGACATACCAAAACTGTGATTCTACAGAAGGATGATGAGAATACCATAGCCCGAACATGTGAGCAACGACAAAGTTTTAGAAAAAATGAAAACAAAAAGCACACATGTTTAACATCAGTAAGAGATAGTTGAAATGTCTAGGGCACATAATGAGGAAAGAGGGCTTGGAGAAATGGATACTCACATGACAGATTGAATGAAAGAGGAACAGAGGATAACAATGCATAACCTACTTAGTGAGCCTTCAGTAAATGGATGGCAAAAGAGAGGTTAGGAGAAATAACAAAAAAAATAAAATTTATTAAGAACTAAAAAGGACAGGAAGTTGTGGAGAGTTATGATCGTCAGCGTCCTGCGGATTGGGTGATTGATTGGTTCGTTTACTTCGGCTTTGCAGGTTATTTAAAGCCAGAAAAAATTAGATTGTAAGATTATTTTATTTTATTTTTTTGGAGATTCTTTTGAGATGAGACAAGTCTTAATAATTAACCCATAGCTGAGGGAGACTCATAACTTTTCCAAAGGTATTTGCACGTAGGTGAATATGACGAACCCAACGGGAATAGGAACTCGCCATTATCCATTACAACATACACACGTCCAAGATTATAGACCCTGGTATTTCCAAACAGCCACCCATTTTTTTGGGGTGGGGGGTGGCTAAAGTAACACTTCATATGAAAGGAAACTTTTCTTGTCATTACTTACCTGTTATGTCAAACTGTTCGTTGAAAATATGGATTGTTCCGTGTGGTCGACCTAAGATGAAAAAAAGAAAAGAAAAGACGAGCATGCTGTCTTTTCTTTTTTTCTTTTTTGTATCATCTTTGGCTGAGGAGGAAGTGACGTAAGTCGTTAACGATTGGTCAGCAGTGGCATTTATTTAACGAGTCCATTTGTTGCGTGCTTGGCGTTTTTTTTTTGTTTGTTTTTTTTTTTGCTTCAGGATCGCCTGCCTGAATAGTACTGTTTCGATAGGGTCTCTTGGGTGAACAAGTATGATGTTGGAAGACCCGAAACTTATCATGACCCCAAGTCATAACATCACTGGCGAGGCGATCCTGAGCACTCGTTAGAATGTTTTCATGTCAAATTACTGCGCATGCTAGACGTTGATTAACTTCCGGACTTTTAACGTGGAATGGTCGTCAGCCACGTCCTGCAAGGACACGGCACAAAGAAGAAGAAGAAGAAGAAGATAACACTAACAGTTTTTCAGAATTATATATATATATCATACTCCTTTTCTAAGTTATAAGTTATACTTATCTTAATCCCTCAAACTTATTCTTGGTTCTGGATTAAGATAAAAAGGGACCCACGGCTCTTTGAGTTCTTATTCTGCCTCCCTAATCCCCGGCTTCCACGACTAAATGCAGATAAAAGATTGTTTTCAATTATTTGACAACAGTCTAGGATGTTTTTCTTCATCCTGTACAAAGCCCGGAAGCCGCTCGAGGTAGTGAGTTACAGAGTAAGAGGCACAGATCATGCGGATATGTGGGAAAGTTCAGGATTACCTCTAGACCTGAACAGGTTAAGATTGTAGTGATCGAGAAGCATAATCTTGGGAATCGGTTCCACAGAACGGTGGTTCGCGAGAAGAAGCTGTTCGTGTGGAACTTATTTCTCACCAACGGAATACGGAGGGAACGATGCTGGTTCGTTATAATGTCAATCCTTGCCGTGAACTGGTGCCATTAAGGAATGTAGTTCGTCTGGATACTTTCCATGAAAATAGCAACGGAGAATCTGTCTATATTTCTGAGATGAGGTATTATATACATTATTTACATTGTTCGGACTATTGTCCTCATCTTTGTCGCCATATTTATTACAACGTTCCGGCCTTTCAGTATCTGTCTATATTTCTGAGATGAGGTATTATGTACACTATTTACATTATTCGGACTATTGTCCTCATCTTTGTCGCCATATTTATTACAACGTTTCGGCCTTTCAGTATCTGTCTATATTTCTGAGATGAGGTATTATATACATTATTTACATTGTTCGGACTATTGTCCTCATCTTTGTCGCCATATTTATTACAACGTTCCGGCCTTTCAGTATCTGTCTATATTTCTGAGATGAGGTATTATGTACACTATTTACATTATTCGGACTATTGTCCTCATCTTTGTCGCCATATTTATTACAACGTTTCGGCCTTTCAGTATCTGTCTATATTTCTGAGATGAGGTATTATATACATTATTTACATTATTCGGACTATTGTCCTCATCTTTGTCGCCATATTTATTACAACGTTTCGGCCTTTCAGTATCTGTCTATATTTCTGAGATGAGGTATTATGTACACTATTTACATTATTCGGACTATTGTCCTCATCTTTGTCGACATATTTATTACAACGTTTCGGCCTTTCAGTATCTGTCTATATTTCTGAGATGAGGTATTATGTAAATTACTTATATTATTCGGACTATTGTCCTCATCTTTGTCGCCATATTTATTACAACGTTTCGGCCTTTCACTATCTGTCTATGTTTCTGTGATGAGGTATTATGTACATTATTTACATTATTCGGACTATTGTCCTCATCTTTGTCGCCATATTTATGACAACGTTTCGGCCTTTCAGTATCTGTCTATATTTCTCTGATGAGGTATTATGTAAATTACTTATATTATTCGGACTATTGTCCTCATCTTTGTCGCCATATAGAAATGAACACAATATTGGAACCAATAATAAGGAGTGCCAGAGAAAAGTGATAATAACAACAAAAATTGCAATATGATCTCTGGTAAAAACATGTAATGATAACAGCAAAAGATTGCAATATGAGCACTGGTTAAAAATGTTGCTGAAGATATTAGGTTTATAATACCCAGAAATCCATACGCAGATGTCAAGGACACATGACACAGTGGATAAAGGCGTTAGTTAGATCCAGTGACAGAACCTAAAGAGTGTGAGTTCAATACCCGGTTAAGGCTGAGAAAAACTTTCAGAGGGAAATTAACAGGAGATAACTGGCCTCCATTAAAACATGGCACGTGGAACTAGGACAGTCTATCCCAGTGAGCGAAATAAAGGGTTCAGTTCGACATTCCAACCACCTGAAGAAGGCCGAGACGTTGTAATAAATATGGCGACAAAGATGAGGACAATAGTCTGAATAATGTAATGTGAGTGGCCTGCGACGTTTCGTCTGTGAGAGAGGAGTTGCAGGGGAAAAATAATTTGTCACCCCTGACATGTGTTTTAAATTTCTCTCATTTGCATTTCCTTCCCAGAAGGACATAAGGATGTTATTGTTAAACACTGTACTGTTGCATCAATGTTAAAATGAAAAGCCTTTGCTATAAACGAACTTTGTAATTATTTTGTGAAGTAAGGAACAATCTTGAGGAAAATAATATCGTAAGTTTACAGTTATAGCCATATTAAGAGACTCACGCGCATGCGCGACCAACAAAAGTTTTATCGTTTGGGTAGTGTTAATATAATGACAATGATTACCTGACAATGTGACACTTTCAGATTCTAATTTATGTGGAAATAAATATTAGTAAAGAAACTGTAAATTTTAACGCCCCAAAACGAAATTATTATCTACCTCTTTATCCTCATAATTTTCACTTTCTAAAACTTCCTCTTTCACTCATGTCACCTACTTCATTCACCATTATCATTTAAAAATAACCCTCTACCTTGAATACCTCTCCAGCCTTGTATTGGGTGAATTTTAATATAAATACATCTACCTCTTTGTGTAAACTAGAGATGTCTTTACTTTTTTGAAATCAACGCAAACCTGACCTTTGCCTTCCTTTCCATTAATTAATTTTGTTTTTTGTCCTATATGACATCTCTACAACATTAAATAACCCCCCCTCAAGAGGGATGAAATGTTGTCAAATCGACCTAACCTATTTCTCTTATTCTTCGTATTTCTCTTATAAAGGCTGTTCCAATAATTTGGACCGATTTTAAATATGAATTAAGTTTAAGCGTCTAATGATTTTTTTCTTTTTCTTTCAGATTTAACAACTTTAATCTTTGGCAATTTCAACCATGAAAAGATTAACAAGAGTGCAATTGGAAAAATTGTTTGTAAATTCAAACAAATTGGGTCGGTGGCAGATGCGAAAACACCATTGCATGCTCGTTTACTCGATTCAGCTGAAAACATTGCAAGTAATTGAACAAGTAATTGAACCTCTCCACAACAACCTTACATTGTTACCAATTGCACTCTCGGTCGGTCGATTATGTTGACCAAAAAAATCGCGAAATGCATTTCTGTTTGAACGTCCATTTTCGTAATAGGCTTCAATAACTTTAACACATCCGGAAAACAAAAGGCGTCTGTTTGAAAAATGTTTCAAAAGAACAAAATAAAACATTGAGAGTGAAAGAAAATATGAGAGTACAATACAAAAGTTTAGGGTGTTTCAATAACTCGGATCAATTTTAAATGTGAATTAAGTTTAAGCGCCTAATGATTTTTTTCTTTTTCTTTCAGATTTAATAACTTTAATCTTTTACAATTTCAACCATGGAAAGATTAACAATCAAACAACGTTTTAAAGTTATCGAAGCCTATTAAGAAAATGGACGTTCAAACAGAAATGCATTTCGCGTACTTCGCTTTTTGTTTGGTCAACATAATCGGCCAACAGAGAGTGCAATTGGAAACGATGTAACGTTGTTGTGGAGAGGTTCAATTCCTGTGCGCGATGACGAATAGAGGTGTCTAGATTTTCGGTTACATTCTTGTGCACTGCAGTAATGTTTTCAGCTGAACGGCGTAAACGAGCACGCAATGGTGTTTTCATATCTGCCACCGACCCAGTTTGAATTTACGAACAATTTTTCCAATTGTACTCTTAAAACTTTAAAACTGGCAACTGCTCTCGAAAAAGCCCCCCCCCCAATCACTTGTTAATTAATTTGATTGTTAATCTTTCCATGGTTGAAACTGCCAATGACTTATGTTGTTAAATCTGAAAGAAAAAGAAAGAAAATCATTAGACGCTTAAACTTAATTCACATTTAAAGTCAGTTCAAGTTATTAGAACACACTTTATTAGAACGATTAATTCATTGGTATTTTCGTTCCATAACACTTCTATTCAACATTAAATAACGCATCAGTGGTTGATATATCGTTTAATTAACGAACCTGACGTCACCTTAGTTTCTTGCAACGATATTTTTGACCTATTAAAACGATCGCAATTCAAATAGAAAAATATATTAAACATATTTAAATTTTCATCGACAAATACAGTATTAAAATTAATTTCGACCTTTGTCCTTAACTAAGAGATGGCAACTGTAATACCGTATTATGAAAAAGAAATGTTTTAATTTATTGCAATATCCCGATTAAAACAAACATTATTAAAGTGCATAAGATATGCGTTCTGTTTAATAAGCCGACAACGTAAAACTGGCAGCTGCTCTCGAAAAAGACCCCCAATCACTTGTTAAATAAGGACAACAAATGACTTGTTAATACTGACGCCTTCAAAAGGAAACTTATTCCATTTAATCATCATAGGGAACTATTTTTGCCTTTCATAATCATGGCTGATGCTAATCTCCAGAAAAGCAATTTGTTACTCTTTTTGGTCTCATGTTTTCCGCTGACATGAAGTGTGTTATGGGATCTTACCCATAATAATAATAATGGACTATTCCATACTTAATAAATACTGCGCCTCAGTCAGTAGTTCAAGTCGAGTCAAGAGTCCAGTCAGAGGCAGTCCGAAACAGTGTCGCGTTCAGACAATTACTGCAAGACATTGGAATAGTGATACAGGTCGAGACTACATTGTTCTCTCTACTAAACCTGATTGTTCATACTAACACTTCTACTTCTCTGTATATATTCCTGATTGTAATATATCTGTGTTATTCCATATACGTGTTCGAGTTCTTCTTTATTGGTTCTACCTTGGACTATCACCGGGGTACAAGGAACTGGAACATAACAAAGTGGAAAAATTATATTGGATCAATTACTAGGTCTGCTGCTAGGGATGTTGGTTGACTGTGTCGTGCAAGAGAATTTTTGTCCCGTTAGAATCAATCTTGCACATTTATAAATCTACAATTCTTCCGTGCATTAAATATTGCTGCCATATCTGGTCTTGTGATCCTTCTATATCTCTCGAGATCATCGACAAAATCCAAAGAAAGGTTATGCAATGATATATGTCCTGGCCTGGCATCTCGGCTTCAGTTACTTTCTCACTGCTGGAACGTAATTCTACTCGTTCATTTCTATAAATATTTCCATTGCAATTCTTCTAATCAGCGTGCATTTAAGCGTAGTGCTAGATTAGCAATTAGGTCTCATCGTTTTTTACTATGGAATTAGTTAGACGTAATAGTTCTTCTAACCTGTTCTTTTATTCTCTTTTCTTCTCTCTAACGTCTTCTCATTCTCGTTCACTCTCTGTAACTCCTAGTGTCTTAGTATCATTACAACATTGCTTGGGGTGGAATGATTGAAAAATTATACATACTTAGTTAAAATGTACTAAATCGAGATTAGAGTGATCTGATTGGTTTATTATTCGTTTTTATGATCATGTGACAGTTTTTTTAAATTAATTAATTTGTTTTTATTTTTGAGCTGTTTGAAAGGTTATTTCTGTGTGAGGTTATATATGTGAGTGTAGTTCATAATAACATATGTAAGAAAGAAGTGTGACCTATTATCTTATAGTAATGGCTTCTATCCCCTTTTGGGACACACACACACACACACACATATATATATATATATATTAGAGTGTTACACATGAAATGACGTATGTTTGGGTTGGTTGTTGATCCGGTCGTCTAATGAAATAACGTCCTTAGTATATATATATATATATATATATATATATATATATATATATATATATATATATATATATATAAACAAAAACAAAAAAACTTGACTCTGTTTATTTTCAGATAATTTTTCTTTCAATATATTGTTACTCATAAGCCCAATGAAATTGATTACAATAAAACAATGTCAAGTAATCTTACTGTATGAGTACAAACTGGGAAAAAGAACTAGTTTTGCATCAAATCATTACATGCAATGAGAAATGGATACTCTTTGACAACAGTAAGAGAGTAAGCCAGTAGCTAAATGCAAGTGAATCACCAAAATAATACCCCAAACCTCCACTGTACATTAAAAAGTTAATGGTTACTGTATGGTGATCTTTCAAAGGAGTTATTCATTATTCATTCTTACCTTAAGCATAAACAATAACAGCAACATTGTATTGTGAAAAAATTGAATATATGCACGAAAAATTAAAAAATAAACATCCTAGACTTGTGAATAGGGATGGCTTAATTTTGCTGCACGACAACACACGGCCGCACACTTCTCAATCAAGTGTCCAAAAGCTGCATAGCCTGAATTACGAAATGTTGCCTTATCCTCCATATTCACCTGATATCTCTGCTACTGATTATCATTTCTTAAGCAGCAAGATATTTTTGTGTAATTTTGTTAAATATATCTGTTAAAATGAGATGACATTGTTATTTTCATTCTTGCGTAATTTATAAGACAATTTACCCTGGATCTATCTATCTATCTATCTATCTATCTATCTATCTATCTATCTATCTATCTATCTATCTTCCAGAAACGGTAACGTCTGCAATGGGAATTAGTTAGCTAACATTTTCGGAATCGAGTGGCTGCGCCATTTACCATCTCTCTCTCTCTCTCCCTCTCTCTCTCTCTTTGTATATATATATATATATATATATATATATATATATATATATATATATATATGCATAATACATTTTTAAGACCTTTTAAAATTTCAAAAATTACCTGTTTAGTAATTATTAGGAAAAATTTACAAAAATTATATTGTAAGTTTTACCAGATGACAAAACACTGTTTCGTACTTAGTAAAAATAATTTACATATAGTTTAAGTATATGACTACTTAAATACACACTTTGCAAGTCCCACCCACTTTTGTTGTTATTTAATGTCTTATGCGTAACGTCTACAGCTATACTCTACACCCCCCAGTGAATTCATATCCGCCTTGGCAAATGTCTTCCTCTAGAGCTTAGATGCTTGAGCCATATTTCAATGCTTTTAGGTGAACAGCTCTATAAAGACGAGTGTTTATTCAAGTTGCTATGACATTGGAACAAAACAAATAAAATTTGATGGCGACCTATTCACCACAGGTCGGCATCTAAAATGCTTTCGCATAGTTTTACGCCTCATCAAGTCCTTGTAAATACTAAGCTTCTCTCTTTAACAAACGTCGAGCTAAAAAAAAAAAAAAAGAGGGAAAGGAAAAATATAAAGTGTTTTTCATGACAAAGAAAAAGTCGTCTTGTATCAGGTTCTCTGCGAAAAAAAGGAGTGCATAAAATATTTAATGGGACTAATTTGTATTGAAACTCATGCACGCATCGTTCTTGGATTTTAAAAAAAAAAACTTTTTCAGTTATGGCAGTGAATACGGGACAGTCTCGTCGTAAATGAAGAAGAGACTTGAAGCAACAGAAATGAGGTTCCCCAGAAGGATTCACAAAGATTCTGAACAACGATGAAGTTTTAGAAAAAAATGTAAACAAAAAGGAAACATATACTTAAAATCACGGAGAGACAGTTAAAATTTCTAGGTTACATAATCAGGAAAGAAGGCTTGGAAAATCTGACACTCACAGGACAGATTGAAGGCAAGAGTGACAGCGAACAACGCATAATCTACCTATCGAGCTCGAACAAATGGATGACGGAACAAGATTTAGGAGAGGGAATAAAAAGACAAAGTTTATTAAGCGCTACAAAGGACAGGGCGTTGTGAAGAAAGCCATACTCGCCAACGTCCTGAAGGGACACGGCACATAGAAAAAAATATCACATAAGATTTGAACAATATTAAAATTTGCCTGTTTTTATTTTTATTTTTTAGTGAAATTCGATGGCTGACATATTGATTGATTGATTTCTTTTTTACGACTTATCAACCCTTTTCAGATTATTTAAAACCAGAAAAATACTTTTAGATTGCAAAAATTTTGTCTTACTAATTAAACAATAGCTGGGGGAGAAGAGGTGGTTTCATAATCAAAACTTAATAAACAAACAAGAAATTATAATGGGGATATAAAGTGGGGGATCAGTTATATATTACAATCAATATATAAACTGTTCCCTCACTTTGTGGTCACGGTAGTTTCTATACATTTATATTCCAGAGAATGTAAATAAATTATGGGTATATAAAGTGGGGGATCAGTTATATATTACAATCAATATATAAACTGTTCCCTCACTTTGTGGTCACAATAGTTTTCTATACATTTATATTCCAGAGAAATGTAAATAAATTATGGGTATATAAAGTGGGGGATCAGTTATATATTACAATCAATATATAAACTGTTCCATCACTTTGTGGTCACGGTAGTTTCTATTCATTTATATTCCAGAGGATATAAATAAATTTTAAAAAAACAGTATTTCATTGATTGATTGATTCGTTTTCTAAAGCTTATCAACCCTTTACAGGTTATTTAAAGCCGGAAAATATTTTTAGATTGTCAGAATTAGGCCAATATTTTGAGCCTATGTTTATTGATAATCCCATTTCCATTTTTAAAACTAGGCACTAATTATCGCTGGGAAAAATAAGAATTGAGAAGCGGGAAATTAAATCGGACACTGTGAATCGAAAATGAAACTGCTCGGACATACTTAACGTCTCTTGGAGACAACATCTAACAAAATCCTAGCTCTAGGAAGCCATCCCTACAATCCTACGCGAACGCAAGATGCTGGCGAGCAAAATAATAACTTGCGAGTGATCTACTGCACTGGACACCGAGACATGGCACAAGGCGGGTTGGTCGCCCAGCAACCACCTACATTGACCAACTATGTAATTACACAAGATGTCACCTTCATTATGTTCTGACCTTGATGAAGGACCATGATGGCGTCATAGACTCATCAATGTCCGAGCTAGGTAGATCGAATAATGTTTGTGTTGTACGTGGGTAACTTACATCTGTTTGTGCCATTATATATATACGCACAAGCACACAACACACAAACATACACAATTTATCTGGGTTGGAAGTAAGGCATTCCTCAGTTTGGATAATGCCTACCTTTGACTGTGCAATGACATTATCGAGTTGGAAGCAAAAAAAAGAAGAAAAAAAAAGAAAAAAAAGAAAGGAACAGATTATTATCAGTTTCATGTGTGTCAAACTGTATCTTTGCTAACATGTGTGTATGACAAAGAAATAAAATAAGTAAAATTAATTAGTTTTTCTTTCTCTTCCCTACATTGAAAGAGCTTAGTATCTTATCGATAATTATTTCATTGTTTCCATCCACTGAAATCAGTCAGGGTTACGGTTCATGCTTGTCTATATCAGACAATTCTTATCTATTTATTTCTATCGAGGGCATGGCAGTATAGATATGTCCATTTTTGCATTCGTTGTGCTTTCTTGGTTTCACATTTTCATTCATGGTGCGTTCCTGTTTTCACTCATGGTGCCTTCTTGGTTCCATATTTTCACACATGGCGGCTTCTTTTACTTCACATTTTCACTCATGGTGCCTTTTTGGTTTCACGTTTTCACTCATGGCAGCTTCTTGTCTTTCATTTATAATACCTTCTTAGTTTCACTCATGGTGCCTTCTTAGTTTCACGTTTTCACTCATAGTGCTTCGTTTCACGTTTTCACTCACGGTGATTTCTTGGTTCCATATTTTCACACGTGGCGGCTTCTTGGCGTCACGTTTTCACTCATGGCGCTTTCTTAGTTTCACGTTTTCACTTATGGTGCCTTTTTGGTTTCACGTTTTCACTCTTGGTGCCTTGTTAGTTTCACGTTTTCACTCATGGCGGCTTTTTGCCTCATGTGTTCATTGATAATGCCTTCATGGTTTCACGTTTTCACGCATAGCGGCTTCTTAGCTTCACGTTTTCACTCCTAATGACTTGGTTTCACGTTTTCACTTATAGTTCCTCTCACGTTTTCTACTGACTTGAAGTGGAATATTTATTGAATCAATAGCTATGTCTACTGATAGGAGATTTGGTTGGCTGTGTCACACCAGATAATTTCTTTCACCAGAATCCATCCTGTACATTTGTAAATCTGCCGTTCGTCCGTTCATTAAATATTGCTGTCTTATCTGGTATGATGCGGCTGATGTACATCTCAAGATTCACTATAAAATCCGAAATGTCTGTAACGTTATCGGTCCTGACCTGGCATCTAAACTTCAGTCACTTTCACACCACCGTGTCATGGGTTCTCCCTCTATTCTCTATAAAAGAAAATCCCATGGCCGTTCTTACAATAAGGTCTCCTTCTTGGTACCTCAACCGCATTAATTTAAGTGTACTACTAGATTGGCAATTAAGTCCCATAGTTTTATTGCGGAAATAGCTAGATGCAACCGTAAGCACTTTTTTGATCGAGTTCACCCCAAACAAGGCAGTAAAACCTCTAAGACACAAGGGTTTATTGGGTGTGGAAGAATTAGAAAATACAAACATTAGCGAGAGATAGCGATTGACATTGCATTAAAATGTTTGAAGATTAAAGCTGACTGTCAGCATGAGACTAGAAGAGAGTTCCACAGGTGAGATATTTATTTCCGCTTCAAATACAGAAAATGTGGTATAAGGCCAAAAATAGGGAATAAGAAAAGGACGGTCTTCTTCTGTCTAAAATTTAAACTTAGCTAATCCCAAGCACTAACCTAAACATACCACAATATTCTTAGCACCAAAACAATACATTCTTACCTTTCTTACTACATCCACCGTAATACCTCATTGTCTCTATGAAAATCCTAACTAGTCCCCATATGTACAATTCATTGTCCGTGTCAGGGAGGGGAATAAAACAACAATTTTAAAACCAGCCCCAATGAGTATTTACAATATGAGTACAAATCTTTTTAAAACAAACTAATCAAAATAATGCGAAGAGCTCATTCGAACAATCACCATGAAAGTATTTATAGAAAAGGCACAGGGAGGCAACTTTATGGCAGTGGGAAAGTGGCTGAAACGAAGATGTCAGTTTAGGACCAATAATATTACTGATTCTTATTTGGATTTTATCAAAGGTCTCTAGATACACACTGCGTGCCAGATTATTATCGAGATAACTTTTTTTTTTAATATTTCAGAAACCGTTTAATCAATTCACACAAAAGTTTCACACAATGTTGGCAACACTGACCTGCGCAATCACTGAAATTTTCGTACTGATCTGTGCAATGTAAACAAACTGGCGCCATATTTGTTATCAGCACAGTGATTTGAGCGTGCCAAATTATTAGAAAGGTTTAGTAAAATTCCCAGAATTGAGCAAACAAAACGTTTATTAATATTGCACGTGAATGTTTATGATCAAAAGAAGCTAATAAATAAGATAATCAAACAAATAATAACAGATACAAACAAAGGCACAGTTTTAAATAAATTAAGAGGGAATGTGCTTTCCCTGTTTTGAAATTACTTGAAGAAGTCGACGATCCATAGAATCTGTTAATTGTAGGATGTCATCTGCTGTAATGCCGCGAGATATGTCAAGAATTGCTTCCCATAACTCAGCGTTGCTCCTGAATTGTCGTCC